GAGAGCCACCCTGGCAGATGAGAGCCGCCCTGACAAACGGCCTCATCAGATCAAGGCAGTTGAGAAGTGCGAGGGGGTCGGGGTGGAGGGGAGGGCAGCTGGAGCTGCTCCTCTCACCCAGAGGAGGAAACAGGAAGCGCACCTGCACAGGGCCTCCAACCTGAAGAGGAGAAGCAACCCCTGACCGTCCTAACTCTGATCTCCTGGCAGGCAGCCCCGCATCGAGTCCTGGGAGGAAGCTCAGCCACACTTCCCTCCCGGCTCTAAGAGGGGAGAGTGACGGCAGCACCTTTCCAGGACAACTGATGTCTGTACGATACTTTCTTGGTATCCTCTGCTTTCATACAGTTTCTTCCTGATTTTTCAAAACCATCCAGAAATCTAGGTAATGCCCTCCAATTTTGCAGGTCAGGAGTCCCAGGGAGGGAAGTGATTTACCCCAAAGGAACACAGTTTGTAAGTAGCCAGGTCAGGACAGAAATCAAGACCTTTCAACTTCAGAGCCTATTCTCTGTCCTTGATGTGAAGCTGGGTCTCCACTGCCCAGAAACCCCAGCTCCCAGGATCAGTGACTGAGCATAAAAGACAGAGACTCAGAATCCAGTAGCCACAGAGCCAAGGGCTTGGCAGGGATGTTGGGACAGGCCGAGGCAAGATCCTGGAAGGACTGTGAAGTGCTCAGTCCCTGGAACTGCAGCTGCATCATTATCCGCCAGCCTCAAGGGGACTCTGGAACCGCCCCGCGCCTTGGAAATAACCGCCCGTGAGGAATGGTCACTCAGGGAGGGAAGAAGAGTTAGGCGAGGGAGACAGTGTGTTGGACCCACAGGTCACGGGCTGCCCTGAGAGGCCTTTTCTTGCTCTGCAGAGCAAATCAGGCTTTTCAAAGGGAGCTCAGGAGCTCTAGATAAAGCCTCTGACATGGAACGGTAGGAGAACGGGGAAAGGTATTAGGCAAGAAGCAGGACCAGCTCTCCAACAAGGCTGCGAGGTGGCTGACGAATGTACCGTCAGACTCAGATTTCACAAACCAGCGATATGTAAGTATATATATATATATATATATATATATATGTAAACTGTTTCTTTTGTTTCTTCTCTCTCTCTCTTTTTTCTTTTTGAATCTGCTTCATGTCAATAACCCAGTGCCCAGCATGGTGCCTGGTCCAGACACCTGGTACAGAGAAGGTGCTGCGTGCTATTTGCTGGATGTATCTGAATGAGGGAAGAGCCAATTGAGGCTAACAGGGTGAGACAGTGGCAAAGGCTGCCACCCGAAAGCTGAGCCTCCTGGGGAAGTGAACTGGAGCCTCTGAGACTTTGCCACATCCCCTGGGCATGTGTACCCAGCTGTTCACCCCCATCAGCGGCCCAGACCTCTAACCAAGGCTGCTAACCTGGCCAACCATGTCTCCTGCCCTGGAGCCTTTCCCCAAAGCCCTCTGCACCCCCGTCCTCCCAATTTAGAGCATTCTTCTCTCTGCTGCCAGGTGGCTTGTAACAATGGGTATTAAAGGGGTCCCTCGGTAATGTGCAGTTCAACTGGGGACTCTCCAGACACTTGCTTCCTTAGATGGATGGAGAGGGGCGGGTGGCCAATAGGAGGCAGTTTCCAATCAATTAAACAAACATCATTGGTTGCCTGTGCCGCTGGGGCCCTACAAAGATGACGGACAGGTGTAGGAGGGAGTCTTCGCTCTTCCAAAGCTGCTAGTCCCCAGGATAAAATGGGCTCTCCTAAATCGAGCTGTGTGCCAGGCACACATGTGGCACAAACAAGGAGCCACGTCTGAGAACAAAAAGTCACTTTTGGATTGAAAATGTGATAAACAGCCAAAGAAGGGTTAGCCTCTGAGCCAGACCCTGAAGGAAAGGGACAAACCATTGACAGGCAGAGATGGGGTAGGGCTGGGCCTGCTACCCATGCCCCTCTGTCCCCCACCAACCAGGTGGGCCTGTTCCTCTCACTGCCACAGGAATAAAGAGCAGCAGCTCCCAGTTAATCAAAGCTTCCTAGCCCAGCAGCCACCCTCTCCTGGGTTGTGTTTATATCTACACGGGGTCATTGGTACTTCTGACCAGGGACCTGGGGAAGCTGTGTCCTCTCCTTGTCCTTGGTCTGAAGACAAATCATTAGACCCTTCTGGACCTCAGGGGCCTCCCCTCTGCCTGACACGGTTTTTGAGGCCCAAAGGAAATGCTGGGGGAGGCACTGTGGTAAGCAGTGAGGAGCTGGGTAGTTGGTATCCTTGAGTGTGGGGCTCAGGAATGCAGGGGCCAAGGGTCAATCTTCAAGGTGGGTGGCCAGTAGGTTTTCCTCTGCTCCTGGAGCACAGGCGATACTCTCTAAACCTACTTAGTAGACTCAAAAATGGATGCCGCTGGTCAGAAGGGAGCTGGGGCGCAAAGATGGGTAGATGCTTGGTGCAATTCCACCCTTCTTGCTGCATTCAGACACGCTTGTAGACAGGCCCTCAGCATCAAAGGTCCTTCCCTAACCCGGTTCAGGGGCTGGGTCAGTGCCCCTCCTGCCACGCCCTCTGTTAAGCACCCATCATTCTGTATTAAAATGATGGTTTATTAGACTATTAGGCCATTTAAGAGCAGAGGTGTGTTTTATATGTCTGTTTTCTACTGAAGTGCTTAGCACATAGTAAACCTCGAAATATTTGTCCAATGACCAAATGCACTCTTCTTCCAAATCGCAGTTATTTGGTCCTCTCACTCTGCCCTTGTAAATGAGAACCAGCCGTTTCCTTGTCTACACAGGGTCTTGATTTAAGTCCAGTCCCCCCTGCCCCCGCCCTGCAGTTACAGTGGCCACAGCAGCCCAAGCAGCAGCAACCTCCCCTGGTCCCTCTCTGCCAGCGTGGGAGAGGCCACGGACTCACTTCTGGGTCCCTGAAGGCACTTTTCCGCCTGTACTTTAAGCAAAGTACATCGAAAATCTCTCTCTCCTGAGTCTCTTAAGGAGAAACTGCCCATTCCAGTTTCCTTCTCTCTCTCCTTTCAACTCTGCAATTTACGTTCCTTGGGAAGCCCTCCCAGATTAGGCATATCCAGCCTCAAAAACTGCTTTCCTTCCAGCACATCCCCCAGCACTTGAATTAACTCTTGGAGGGCAAAGGCCACCTTATATCCTCCTATGGCTAGTGCCCAGCACACGGTAGGCACTCAGGAAATAATTACTGGTTTAATACGTATGCATTGGATCGGTTCACAGTTGTTAAAGTTTCTGTTGTTAAATATTTAGAGAGTTAAGAACACTCCACTACATAGGAGATTCCTGACATCCCATATGGGACTAGAAGTTCTAGTGGGCAGGGCCCTGTCTCCCCCTTCTTGTAACAGGGGTTCACAACCTGCAGTCCAGGTTGTGACCAGGCTAGTTCCATTCCAGCTCCTTGGTTTAGTCTGTTGCACCATCAACTGACAGCACAGCAGTTAAGAAGGACTTTGGTGTTTGAACCCTGGCTCAGCAAGTGACTTAACTGTTCTGAATCCAAACATAAGGAAAATACCCATCTTACTCCGTAGTTGTGAAAAGCAAAAGAAAAAATGCAGGTAAATCATTAGCACAGTGGCTGGCACATATTAAGGATGCATAAATCAAGGTTTGCTAGTATTACAGCGTGAGCCCTGACCCCTGACCCCAGCTGCACCCTGCTGCACAGTACTGTCACCCAGTCCTTTCTCCTCCTCTGTCCAAACTTGTCTTTCTCTTTTGCAGAATGCAATATACAAAGAACGCTCAGGTAGACAAGCTGGAATTCTTTAGAGAGGGAGGGTGGAAACATGGACAGGGAAAAGTTAACCCTTCCTTCTGGCAGCCAATCTAGCCAACTACCTGCATTGCGCCTTCCAGGAAGAGGAGGCCCACCACCGGTCTTTCTAGGCTCGTTCAGGGATAAAAGGGCTCCAGCCACAGTTACTGAGTTGAATCAGAATGGTGAACCCAAGCCACTCCTGCTGTATATTTTGAACTGGGCACCGAAGGCTGCTGATGTTTCTTAACAAATCTCAATGTAGGGGAACCAGACTTAGCAAATAAAAATACAGAATGTCCCCATTAACTTTGAATTTCACAGAAACAGTGAATGACTTTTTAGCATCAGTATGTCCCAATGCAATATTTGGGTCATACTGAATAATACTAAATTTTTTCTTGTTGTTTATCTGGAATTCAAACTTAACAGGACATCTTATATTTTATCTGGAAGCCCTACCCAGGTATCCCTACCCAAGGGCAAACAGTAAATCCTCCTCCTGCCCTACGAACTACTGGCCCCACCAGTATTAGAATACCAGCCACTCTGGAAACATCACCTCCTCTCAATCCCCAGGTAGAGTAGACGCCGTAAGTGGGAGCTTCTTCTTGACCTGCTAAGTCCAGGGATCTGCCTTGTCAAAGCACCCAGCATAGAGTCAGGTACGTAGTAGGTGCTCAAAATACATCCCTTAATTCATCCTAGACTGCGTGAGCTCTAGCACTGGGCCCAGAGCCGGAGTGAATGTCAGGGGCCAGGCCAGCCTTGACTCTGGGGGACCTTCTAAGAGCAGCGTGGCTTGGGGTGGGAGGCCACACCACACTTCCTGGGGTTGCCTGAGGATCAAATCAGAAAATGGCCAGGGATATGTTTTGTAAATCCCTGAGCAGCACATAGGTTATTATCAAGACCTTTGAGTGGCCCATTTTACCAAAGGACTCCACAGCCCACACTCTTCCCTAGGGAGAGAAACCAGACAGGGAAACAGAAGCACAGAGCAGAGGAAAACCAGCGCCTCTGGACACTGTAATGGTGACGACAAGCAACTGTCCCAACACCTTGTAATTTGCCAAACACGTTCACATCCACGCTCTCCAGAGGACTCACCAGCCCCACGTCGGAAGGGAGGGTTCTGGGCCCATTTTCCAGAGGGTGGAAAGGGCGGCCAGGCCCAGGCCTTGCCTCGGAGGTGGCGCCTGGTCCAAGGGGCCAGGCGTGGGGGGAGTGGCCTACCTTCTGGGCCTGTTGGATCATCTGCCGGACCACTTGCTTCAGGTGGGGCGCCTTCTCCTCCTTAGGAGGGTGAGTGAAGAGGCTGACGCGGCTCACGCCGCGGTAGAAGGCTGTTTCGGTCCAGCCCAGCTCCAGCGGGGGCACCTCGGTGTCGGAGCGGTCGGGCCAGTAGGCCAGGGACTCGCCGGACTCGGCCGCGTCCTGCGTCGGGGTCTCGGCCTCGCTCTTGCCCCGGGCGGCGGCGGCGGCGGCGGCGGCGACTTCGTAGGGGCTCCAGGCGGCGCCGAGGGCCTGACGCTCCTGGCTGGAGAGGAAGTCCCGCAGCTGCTCCTCCTTGACCCGCTCGCGGTAGGCCTGCTCGCCGCCGCCCAGCAGCGCCTCGAGCGCGGCCCGCCGCCGCTCGCAGTAGTAGAAGGCTGCCTGCGCCGCGGTCACCCTCTCGTTCACGTGCGCCTCGTCCAGGCAGCCGAGCTGGGACTCGGCCATGGCGCCCCGACCCCGGCCCCGGCCCGGGTCCAACCGCCGCACCTGGAGCCGCCGAGGGGCGGGGCGCCCCACCTGGACGAGAGGGCGGCCAATCGGCGCGGGCGCGGCCGTCGGGCGGGGAGGGGCAGCTGCGCCTCCGCCTCTGCGGGGCGCGAGCGGCGCAGACGGCCTCGGGGGCTCGGCTGGGGACGCGACGACGCCTAGGCCTGCGTGGACCAGCCCGGGGCGGGAGCCCCGGAGTGGGCCAGAGCTTGGAGCCGGGCGGTAGTTAGACCCACGTGCGGCCTCTGGCCCGCTTTCGTCTCCTGGCCCCGACCCTTCGGTGGGGGAAAGGTTGGGGACCTAACCCTTCCTGTTGCCGGGCGGCCAGACACGTCCCAGCGCGTCCATTTTCCCCGCTGTTAGGGCCCCGAGCACATGGTCTGGCCAGAGTGCTTCTGGGGTGGCCGATCTGACCACTCCTCGGTTGGGGGTTCGGGGGCCCTCTGCTAGGCCAGATTGTGACGGCCTAGCAGGGGCGGTTGGTGTGCAAAAGCGAAATGCTAATAAAACCCCCAGCTCCTGGCCCACATCCACGTGTCCCAGTCTGAGATCAGAGGCCCCTCCAGGGGCTGTCAATGCAACACTTTCACCAGGACAAAAATTTCTTAAAAAAAAAAAAAAAAAGCCACCCAGATACAGCAAGGATGTAAGCAGGGGCAGTGGAATTTTTCCCCCCCATTTTAATTTGAAGTGGTTTGTGTGTGTGTGTGGGGGGGCAAGATAGGCTGCCAGAGGCCTGATTACTATATTAGTGATTTAAAATATATGTTTGAGCTCAAGGGAGGAAGACACACACACACACACACACACACACCACCAGCAGCAGCTCTGCTGTTTCCCATTGGATCAAGTACAATCTTCTTAGTCATTAACATATTATTTTGTTCATGCACTGCTGTACTATTTGATTCTCCACATTCAAAATATTTTCAGATCATAGCAACCAAAGGTTCACATTTCTCTCATTTTATAGCACAGCATCTTAGAGCTGGAAGGAGCTTTAGAAACTAATTCAACCCCCTAGAAACATGTGGTTTGCCCAGGTCTCCCTGTAAAGGAGACGCAACACAGGGAACTATTAGGTTCTCTGTGTCTGGGAGATCTTTGCCCTGCACCACGGCCACCTTTGCCCTTTCTACTTCTCTTGTGAAATGACAGAAGGTTACTGGGGACATGGTTTTAACCCTGGGGACTTCTAAGATCACCTAATATTTCTGGGTCTTCCTTTGATGACCTGGAAAAATGAGGGTTAGATTTTCAAGTATCTGCAAATTTTGTGACAGTTGTCAATTCTGGCATCCGGTGTCAGGTCCGGGATGGTGAGCAGAGAGGTGTCCGTTCTAACGGCACCGCGAAACAGAGGAAAGCTTCAAGTGAGCTTTATTAGGGAGCGCTCCCGGGCGACGTTCACTGGTCCGAGAGAGAGGGGCCAGAGAAGTCGCACCCGGGCGAAGGTTGGGCAAGATTTTATAGGGGAAGAAGGGAAAGGGGTGTGGTGAATCTGGGAGGGCGCAGAGTATTCCTTATTTGGTGGTCTTTTCGGGTATCCTGGGGAACCGTTAGTCCCGCCCCTCGAAAGGCGGGAAGGCTGGGCCGGGTTCAAAGTCCCCAGGTCAGTTTCTGGAACTGGGTGGTCCGGAATGTCTCCAGGGCAGTTTCTGGAACTGGGTGGTCCAGAGAATTTCCGTCTGATGCAACCTGTGAATCTGATTGTGTTCCCCTGCCTCGGGCCAGTTGGCCTTACATCCATCATCTCACTTGTGTCCTCTGCTATTCTTGGGAATTGGAAGGCCTCACTCCTAGTAACACTCTAAGTATAGACAAATTTCATCTTTAGATGGGAGAGCATTTAGTTTGTTTTCCGATGACTTGATGCCCTATAGGATGCCAAACTCTAAGCCCTGAGTATACAGAGGAGCTCAGAGCAGTGGGAGGAATAGAAAAACAAACACACAGGAGAATAACACAGGTGTGATGAAAATGCTTTTAATAAACTCAATCAGCAATGCATTGGGAGTAAACATTTACTCAATGCCTACTATGTGCCTGGCACACAGTATGTACTTAGTACGATTTCTTTAAAAAAGAATGAATTAGGGCCAAGAAAAGGGTAGGTGCAAGGAGCTGTGGGCACTTTGAGGGAAGAAGAAATTAATCTGACTAGTGGGATGTAGATAAGAAGGTCTTCACCTAGCAGGAAGGGGTCTTAAGTGGAGCCTAAAAGGAGGAGAAGAAGTCAAGGGGGAGAGAGGGAGTGAAGACATTCCAGGCAGAGGAAGTTGGGATTGGGTGTGGTCAGAACATCATGCTGGCATAAGGCACACGTGGGTTCAGCTCAAGATACTCAACCCTCAGAGCCTTAAGTACCCTCATCTACAAAATGGGATAACAATGCTGACCACCCCGCCACCCTGTGACCTCCCAGATTGTTGTAGGGATTAAATAAGATCACATATTTGATTTAATTAGCAGTTGTGTCTGACTGATGGAAAGTAGTTTACAACAGTACTTCTAAAACTTTACTGTGCCCAGTAGTCCCCTGGGGGGGTCTTGCTAAAATGCAGATTCTGATTCACTTGGTCTGAGGTGAGGCCCAAGAGTCTGCATTTCTAGGAAGCTCCCAGGTAATGTTCGTAAATGATGGTCCATAGACCAATCGGCATAGCAAGGATTTCAGAAGCCAGTGAATAAGAGCATGAACTTTCATGTCAGAGAGCCTTGGCCACATCATTAGTGACATATGGGCAATAATAAGTCCTACCTAATAGAGCTGTGCAAAAAGGGAAACAAATTAATGGATATACACCACTTCGTGGAGTGCCTGGTACAGCGTAGTAGCCTGTAAAGAGTACTTAGTGTTAAAGTGTGGGAAGATGGGGCTTCCCTGGTGGCGCAGTGGTTGAGAGTCCGCCTGCCGATGCAGGAGACACGGGTTCGTGCCCTGGTCCGGGAAGATCCCACATGCCGCGGAGCGGCTGGGCACGTGAGCCATGACCGCTGAGCCTGCGCGTCCAGAGCCTGTGCTCCGCAACGGGAGAGGCCACAACAGTGAGAGGCCCGCGTACCACAAAAAAAAAAAAAAAAAAAGTGTGGGAAGATGGGACTGGAAAGAGAGGGACCTGGAGTCCAAATTGTGGGGACCGTGATTTTATTTTATTTTTTGGCTGCGTCACATGGTATGTGGGATCTTAGTTCACTGACCAGGAACTGAACCCAAGTGCCCTGCGGTGGAAGCGCAGCGTCTTAACCACTGGACCACCAGGGAAGTCCCTAGGGACCTTGACTTTAAATCTTATTCCGTAGCTAGGGGAGCCATTGAAGATTATTAAGAGACTGATATGGTCATAAAAAAATAGCAATTACTATGTGCCAGACACTGTGCAAAATATGTATCTTTCAAATAAATTCATATAATCCTATTAGAAAAATTATTATTATCCTCATTTTGCAGGTGAGAAAACTGAAACACAGAGAGGTTCAGTGGCTCACTCTAGGTCACCCAGCTGCTAAGTAGAAGAGCCAGGATTCAAACTCAGACCATCTGACTCCAGGGCTTGCCTGCCTGCCCACCTTGCTATACTGCCTCGGTTGATAATGCTAGAAAGGGACATTAGAAAGAAACAGAATCCCCCTTGTTTAATAATTTATCCATTCAACAAACATTTGCTGAATGCCTAGCATTGTGCTGAGGGTCAGAAGCCACTCATTCATTTACCAAATCCGTATTGAGTTGTAACAAGCACAAGGCCCTGCTCTAGGTGCTGAGGTACAGCTCTGAACAAAACCAAGTTCTTGCCCATGTGGAGCTTACATTGAAGTGAATGACTGTGATAAGGATTTTGCTCTCAAGAACACAAATATTATGTGACACAAGTTAGAATAGGACAGAAGGTTAGAATCAGAGTAGACTATTTTAGTCACAGTTCGCAGTGGAAAAGAGCTTTCCTAGATCTAACTGCTATGAAACACACAGTGGTCTTTTCATGATAGTTCCCTTTACATACCAATGACTTATCTATTCAGCCAACTTTTTTGAGCAGTTGACGTGTACTAGATAACATGCTTGCCACTGAGAATAAAAAAGAGGAATCAGACGTGATCGTTAGCTGCTCTGGTGGCTCCCTTGGTTTAGCTGGGAGTCAGATACCCACAGCCTTCTTTACAAGGCAGGGTGACGAGTGACACAGTGGCATTCACAGAGAGGTTATAGGCTATGGATGCACTGTCACGTACACTTATCTAATTTGGTCCCCCCAATCTTTGGAAGTAGGTTGTAAAAGGGACTATGTAAGGTCCTGCAGATGGACATGTTGAGGCCCTGCGAGGTGAGACAGCCTCTTCAAGGTTATCAGCCAGTGGAGGTGCTGGGACACACATCCCTGAGGCCTGATCCCCTGTGCATTATTAGTGAAATTTTTTAAACACCTTACCGGCCCAGAAACTGATTTCTTTTAGACACAGGCCCAATTTACCTTGTGTCTGTGGGCATCCCATGTGGTGGTGACTCCCTAGGAAAGCCTCTGGTCCTCTCCCGGTCCCTCAAGTCCTGGATCTGGTGTTTCCCTGAGCTGGGGGGCCCATCACGGTTGCATTTCTTCCAGCTTCGGAAGCCACCTTGCCCAAGGTGACTGGGCCTTCCTGAGAAATTGTGCTTCCTCCTCCAGTTCCCCTCAGGCCTCCTTCTCCTCCGGAAGACACCTCCCCCTCTGCCTGGGCTCTTGACTGTCACTTGCCTTCCCCTCACCCAGCGCTCACTGCCGGCCGGGTGTGCAGCTGAGATCTGACCCCTTGGAGTTTACCGTCATTGTAGCTGCGTTCATCCCTGTTTGCATCTATTTACCTAGGTCCTCCTGTGTAATTCGAGTCATGATATATTCTAAGATAAGCTTCTTAGGGCTGACTCTTTTTCCCTCTGCGGCAATTTGTGTCATGAAGACCTGTTATAAAACTTTGGGGGCTTTCTCACGCCTCTATGAGATTCGTGCTTTGCTGCCTATT